AAGAAGAAGAAGAAGAAGAAGAAGAAGAAGAAGAAGAAGAAGAAGAAAGAGAGTGAGGAGAGGGAGACAGAAGGAGAAGAAGAGAGAGGGGGAGAGAAAGAGGGAGAGAGAGAGGAAGAGGAAGAGAACGAGAGAACTTGTTCATTAATAATCTGGTGGTTGGATAAATAGTAGACCTAAATATGTGTTACGTGAATGGTTGGGTGAAGAAGACGACACTGTCTTTTCCAGGATGTGTGTTTCAAATTCCTTAACAATCTTGATCTTGAGGATGGAAGCTGACATTGACTTTTACAAGGTGGTAAATGTAATGGCTCTAGAAAAAAAAATCAGGTCTTATGCCCAAATCTTTCCTTCTTGGGAAAAGTGAAGGAAAAAAATAATAATAATAATAGGAAAAACAGCATTGAGGAGAGGTAAGTGACTGACTCAAAAAAATGGCAACATCCTTAAGAGCAGAGTGTTTTATTCCTGAACTCTCCCAAAGTTACTTCTCCATAGGATCTGCAATGCCATATGGAAGGTGTGGATTTTAGCATTGTTGGGGGTTTTTTTTTTATACCAGCCCCCACCTCTCTGAGTCACAAAACAACTTCCATCTCATATAAAATCTACGGATTCTTTTGCCTTCCAGTCATCTGCAAAATGAAAAAAGAAATTGCTTTACAGCAATGCCGTTGTCACCACAGCTTTTGTGGCATGAATTTTGCTTATATTTGATAAAAGTTTGGATATGCAAAAATGCACATTCCAATTATTGTTGGAGATAAAAGATTAAGAACACCGTCCTTTACCATAGGTGGACTTTCTGCTTGTGGTATCCTTTTTTTTAAATATTAAAAGTATTTCTGTACCATGTAATACAATTTACAAAATCCCAGTTCTTTAAAAAAAAAAATCTGTGAACCAAACATTAAGGAAAAGGCAACTTTCAGGCGTCCTTTGTGCTCTCTGAGTTTGATTGTTTTCTTGCAGACATTTCACGACCTAGCTAGGTAACATCATCAGTGCAAAAAAAAAAAGGGAATTTTTTTTTTAAATAGTATTTTTATTCTTTCACAAACCATTTATCAAAAGGCAAATGTTAGGGGAATTAACAGCCAGAGAGGGCTAAACATAATTAGATCATTTTAAAAATAATATGACTAAAATGTATTATTGCTTGAGCCCGGTGTTCTACACAGGACAGGTTAGTTCACATTGTTAATAGTATTTGGATAGCTGCCCATCTCATGCAGTGAATTGGGGCGGTAGTACTAATCAGGGGTGGGATTCAAATTTTTTAACAACCGGTTCTGTGGGTGTGGCTTAGTTGGTGGGCATGGCTTGGTGGTCATGTGACTGGCTGGGTGTGGCCAACTCAACATCACTCACATCGAGGCACGCAGCTCCTCGCCTGGCCTCTCATGACTGTGGGGATGCTGCAACAGTCGTAAGTGTGAAAAAGGGTCATAAGTCACTTTTTTCAGTGCCATTGTAACTTTGAATGGTTACTCCACACAAGCAAAATACCAGCAAAGGAGGGGGAAAAAACTCCAGAGAAGTTCCAGAGACAGGAAGTCTAGTCCTGCCAAGAATGTAATAAGGGTTAACGAAGAGGCAGTTTCTGTAAGCAACACCAGAATGTTTCCTTCCTGTCTTCCTTACAGGATTAGGCCAGTAATTTCTTCTAACAACCGGTTCTCCGAACTGCTTAGAATGTTAACAACCGGTTCTGGTGAATAGGTGCGAACCGGTAGAATCCCACCCCTGGTTAAGACCAAATGTAATTTCTGAAGATTACAGAAAGCTAAGCATACATGTCCAGGAGTGGGATTCTACCGGTTTGGACTGGTCTGAGTGAACCGGATGTTAAATTTGCATCTGGTTTGCTGAACCGGTATTTGAACCGACCGGCTGGCCCCGCCCACTCTGCCCACCCGACTCCTCCCCTCCCAGGAGTCTCCATACGGCCCATTTTCGATGGAGGTAAGTGCAGGGTTTGCAATGGAGGCTCTGGGAGGGGAAAAAACGGGCCTTCCGGAAATCCAGAAGCAGGCCTGTTTCCGGCTTCCAGAGGGCCTCCAGAACCCGGGGGAGGCCATTTTCACCCTCCCAGAGGCCCGGGGGAAGCCTCTCGACCCATGGGAAGGCGAAAAACGGCCCTCCCGGAAGTTCCAGTAGGCCACGCCCACCATGGCCACGCCCATCCAGCAACTGGGCAGCGAACCGATTGCTGGGATTTTTGATTCTCACCCCCTGCACATGTCTGGGTATTTGTGTTTGTGTGCCTGTGTGCCTGTGCGATGTTTGCATCAAATGTGTACATTCAGTTCTGTTCTTTTTCTGTTCGTCCAGGAAAAACTTGTACGCAGGTGGCGAGAATGTCCAGATGAATGGAGATACCCCTCACGAGGGAGGAAATGGAGGAGGGGGACACGGGGATTGTGAGGAATTGCAGCGAACTGGCAAGTAAGGGACAAAAATTCATATATCTTTGCTCGTGTGTTACACAGGTAGTCCTTGACTTACAACCAGTTGCTCAACAACCATTTGAAGTTACAACAGTCTTCCCTGGAACTATTTACAATTTGTTTTGGGAGTTACAATAACTGCACACATACATCCCCAGTTATGTGATTGCATTTTGGGCATTTGGCAACTGGTTGACTTTCACCTCCATTTGCAACATCCTGTGATCACATGACCCTGATTTTTGTGACATCTTATGCTGGTACCCAGCATTTATGTCCAGTTTCCAGCAAAAAACCAAACAAATTTCCCATTGGGGAAAACAATTAATGTGCATAGTGTTTACTTGCAAACTGCAGCCTTTGCTTAGCAAATGTGGCCGAAAAGCTACCCAAAAACTCCCAGGTCTGATGACATGACGCCTTGATTTCCGACCGTAATACCTTACGATTGTAATTCTAGGCTCAGATGCAATCATAAATCAAGGACTGCCTGTAAATGATCATTTTTAAAAATAAAATAAAATAAAATCCTCCTTCAGATAGTTTTATACTCGCATCGTTCTTGGGGGAAGCCATTAGAACAGCCCTCGAATTATGTTTTGGGATGCTGTTTCCAAGCTCTCCTTCGCCATGTGGACTAATGTCACTGTGACACTTTGTCATGCCCTTGTTAGAGTCAGACTCTGAGGGAGAGGAGGAACAGCCGACAGGGAGTGGAGATGTGGCTCCGGAGGTTGTGGAGGAGGCTGGGGAAGGGCAGAGGCAGGCTGGGCAATCAGAGGAAGAACCAGGCCCATCCCCTCTTCGTCCTAGGACACACAGGGAGGAACGGAGAAGGAAACAACTTGGCTTATGAGAGAGGAAGCGGCCATGATCCCCCTCGTTGGTTGCAGCTGGGGAGAATAGTATATAAGAGAGACGGTTAAAACACAGTGTTGCTAGAAGCAAAGCATGTATTATTTGGGCTGAAGTTATCTTGGTTGGCGTCCTTCCAACAGACTGTGCCTTGTTATCTCCTTGAATTTGGTAATTACTTATCCTGGTCCCTTGTGGAAATTCCTTCATTGTAGTTTGTTTTGGTTTTTTATTTCACCTCTATCTGCTCATTAAGTTCGGACTGTATTGCTTTCTTTTGAAGACTATTTTTGTGTAAGTGTTATCTCCAACTGAGAATTATTGAACAGTGGGGCCAAGTTGGAGGCATTAAAGGACATTTATTTACGTTTTGGATTTTGTTATGCTTGTGTTACACTCCGGGTCATCACATACTTCCTCTTCTTCTTCTTCTTCTTAGATTTTTTGGGGGTTTAATCAAAGACATCAAGAGGAAGGCCCCTTTCTTTGCCAGCGACTTCTATGATGCCTTCAACATCCAAGCCCTCTCTGCTATCCTCTTCATTTACCTGGCGACGGTAACCAACGCCATCACTTTCGGAGGCCTGCTGGGAGATGCGACAGAGAACATGCAAGTGAGTCACGGTTTTGAAGAAGCCAATTGCAACAGGATGGAATTGGGCAACGCACCTTGGCCTGAAGCCTCATCCCACACCGCGTGGGGCTGCCATGATTCACGTGGTTAGGAAACTGAGTCAGAGGACCACTGAATAGTTTCATTGCTCGGAAGTTCGAAACCCGAGAGTCCAAGCCACATGACAGAAAGAGCTTCCATCAGTTTGTCCCAACTCCAGCCAACCAAGCAGTTCGAAAGCATGCAAATGTGACAAAACAGTTTCCCCAACACAACAAACCCTCTGAAATTAACTCAAAGATTCCTTTAATAGGAGCGCCAGCAGCCCCGGCAAAAAGTTTCTCTCTTGCCGCAAGCTGACAAGTCCAGCCAGGAGATGAATAGTTGTCTGCCACGCCTATTCATCTCTGTCCCCTGCCTTTTATCCCCAGAGCTAGTGTGGGGCTTTGCTAGCACCGGTGGCTCTTCCTTTCCAAGGACCGGCCTATAGATTTCCACTGCTCTCCTCTCTTCTGCCTTCTGCACATTGGCACAACAGGGACTAGACCCAGCTGTTCCTCCTCTTCCTCATCAACCATCTCCAGACCTAGGGGCTGTTGACTCTCTATCTCAGGGCTGACAGACAGCCCAGGCTCTGCCTCTGTCTCTCTGTCTCTCTCTGCCAGCTCCATTCCCTCTTCCCCCTCGGAGCTCTGATGCTGACCTTGACTCCCACACCGCCACCTCCTCCTCTGATTCGGCTGTTGGAGGGGCCAGCGGCCGACAGGCCACCTACCATGCGAACAGACCAATAGGTACCACCTTGGTGTGGAAAAAATAACAGGGACACAAAAGGAGCCCCCTCAAGTGCCTCCTGGGCAATGAAGATGTCACTGGCACCCACAACTTCTGGTGGCAAGCTGTTCCACTGTTTGATTGTCCTCCCTGTGAGGAAGTTTCTCCTTAATTCCAGGTTGCTTCTCTCCTTGATTACTTTCCATTCATTGTTTCTTGTGTTGTCTGCTGGTGCTTTGGAAAATAGGTTGACCACCCTCTTCTTTGTGGCAGCCCTCCAAATATTGGAAGGCCGCTATCATGCCTCGTTGGAATGGTCTACAGGCGTATGATTTGAATTCCCAACTGTAGCGACAGGAAAACCTGTCCTCCACATGCCCAAACTTCCTGCCTTATGAAATTGTCTTTTATATTTTAAATGATCTTAATGCTAAGGCACATGTTTTGCAGGGAGAGCAATCCGGTTCAGTCTCCATCACAAAACCAGCAGGAACTGCTGATGGTCAGTGTAGACAAATGGACCATTGTTTTTGCTCAGGCTATTCTGGTGCATAAAAGCCAAAAGAATTTTCAAGCTACCAAAGTAATTTGGTTCTCACGATTGGCAAAACTGAGTGAGGCTAATAGAAGTTGCAATCCAGGCTTATTAAGAGTGCTATTTGAAGAAGGAAAGTATAGCAATAGCATTTTAGACATATATCCCTCTTCATGGTGTTTGACAGCTCTCTCTAAGAGTCCGCCTATTGCCCCTAACAATCTGGGTTCTCATTTTACCCACCT